AAAAAAAAAAAAAAAAAAAAAAAAAAAAAAAAGATCTAACTGGAATGCAAAAGCAATCACATGAAAAATGATTGAAGGACAACGAGTACTCAATGTTGATAAGTATCAAATTAGACTGCTTACTGCAAGTATATATGAAATATAAAACTACAAGTCTATAACTGGCATATCCTGAATATATTTCTTTTGAAAAATAAAATAAAATAAAAAGTTGGGCCGAGTAAACATCATCAAGGAGAAGTGGCTCACTTTGCATGTCAAGTGTAATGCCCCTCGTATTTACACTAGTCTAGCTTAACGCTTACTTGCCTAATATGCTTTTGCGTACTCCAACACGTCTACCGTTCCTCTCGCACTCACTCCTCGATGTTCTCACGTATTTTTGCTGCATCGCCTATACAGGCTCCTATACAAGACAACATCCTGCAGCAAACGATTGCTGATACAAGGCAAACGCAGGCAGGGTTCCCAGCTGTTGAGCCATCCTAAATGAGACCTGCCGGGCGCGACGGACAGAATGGCCGAAAATTTTACCATCCCCCTCCCCGCCCCCGTGCAGCGTTCTACCCGACTTCGATTTCTATTTTCGTTTTTCTTTTTCGTGTTTTAGGGAAGGATCGTCTTCCCCATCATGTTAATAAAAACAACTCCCTCCCTCCCTGGCCTGCATCCCATTTTCCCCTTATGCAAAGCACCCCCAATTTCGCTGAGCCAACCCAGAAAGATAGCTTGAATATCTTCGTTATCAAGTGCCTTTTGACGGGGGAAAATGCTCAGACTCTGCCTCTCTCTCTCTCTCTCTCTGTGTGTCTTGCGCACGCGCATACACTCTTCCGGGCTCTATACTCACACTCCCGTCTTTCCCCGTACACAACAGACCTCATTTTGGCTAAACTGACCCGTAAAGATAGTTCGTATACATTCGTCGTCAGGGTGTTGTCTCTTGCGGGAAACCTCTCTCTCTCTCGCTCGCTCGCTCGCTCGCTCGCTCGCGTGCTCAGGCAATTAAAAAACGGATGCAAAAAGAAACGCAAAAAAAAACAAATTTTGGAGTCTAAATTCTGAATATACCAGAACTCTACGCCCCTTAAAAACGAAAATGGGAAAAAAAAAACGCACAAAAAACTTCGTCAGAGTTTGACAAATAGAGCTTCGGAGTTCGGAAGAGAGGAAGGCTGCAATGGACGTCCCTACTCTCCCAAAAAGTTTGCCAACCTGCCTGATTCCTAGTATATCAACGGAGAATGCGATTCCTTCCCCGTCGCATATCTCTGGCCAGTAGTGATACTTTGGCCCTACACAGATCATGACCCCTCTCATCACCCATCATGGCCGACGTTGACAAAGACACAATCCCGATCTTGACAAGGCCAGCTGGGACGCAATCCCGATCTGACCAACGCTGACTGAGACACTATTAACGTGCAGACTATTATCGTCCACGTTCGCCGCACCTTTTTTCTTTCTTTCTCGTTTTCGCAAAGTAATCTGTACCTGATGTCTTGATTCAAGTTGATTTTTTGTTATACATGCGAGAAATAAATAACAAATCCTTACAGGCTTGTAACATATAATTTTCTTTCTTTCAAAATAAAAAAGAAAACTATTAACAAATCAACATCAATCACACATCACTCATGATAATTCCTTTTCAACTTTCAACGCATTTTCAGCAGCCTGCGGATGGACAATGTAAACAGAGACATAGTATTCAAATACTAAAAAAAGAAGGGAAAAAAAAAGGAAAAAAGAAGAAAAAGAAAAAGGAAAAAGAAAAAAGGAGAAAAATAAAGAAACGAAAAAAAAAAAA